ACAAAACAGTTTCTTACGTTAGCGTAGGTGGAAACTTGTAATCAGTTTTTTTTCCTGCTGCTGCTGGCAAGGGTATTTTTACTTAATTCAAATATTATGTGAAAAAAGAATATTTGAAAGGGTCAATTTAAATTCATTTAAGTAATTGTAATTTTTATAACTTATTCGTTTGAAGATCATTTTTGCACACAAAGCTAATTAGTAACATACTAAAAAATTTACTACGAAATTCAAAGCCTTATTTTAAGCTTTTAAAATACACTTTCGCATGGCTTGGAGCAATATATTGCTCCAATAAGCTTTTCCAAAAAATGAATTTTCCTGAAAATTTTTACACTACTGGCCATTAAAATTGTTACACCAGGAAGGCGACACACCACGAACGTAAAAATTTACAGGACGGATAAAGCACGTTATGGTATGCAAATGATTAGCGTATCAGCACATTCATGCAAAAAGCAGGCGGTGGTAGCGACACCTACAATGTGTATAAAAAAATATATGACAGTAAGTTTTTCATACATAAATTGAATTTGAGAGCTGTTTTTGTTAAAATAGTTTTTGTTATGCCTCGTGTAAGAAGGAGAAATGTCTGCCAGCAAGTGTCTGAGTTTGATTGAGGTCGAATTGTGGCCTACCGGGATTGCGGGAAGTATTGCTGCTCGCGTTGGTTAAGATTTCATGACTGTTAGCAGAATATGGAATCGATTGGTTCATGATGGTCGCATGGAACGCCGTGCAAGATCTCAATGACCCCCCATCACTAACAGCCGAGAAGACAGACATGTTATCCACACGGCCTTAAGGGATCGTACAGCTACGGCACGAGCCCTGAGTCAGCAAATGGAGTCATTTGAACGACAACAAGTGTCTGCACGAACAATTCGACGACGTTTGCAGCAGCATGGACTGTCAGCTACCCTTGACGGTTCATCACAGGCAGGAGCGCGTCCAATGGTGTGATCAACAACGAACCTGGACTCAGGAATGGCATGACGTCGTCTTTTTAGATGAATCCAGGTTCTGTATACTGCATCGTGATAGCCGCACCCGTGTTTGGCGACATCGTGGAGAATGCCTATAGGCAGTTTGTATTCGACATCGTCATACTGGCCCATCACCTGGAGAAATGGTATGGGGTGCCATTGGATACACGTCTCGATCACCTCTTGTTCACATTGCCGGTACTTTGAACAGCAGCCGTTACATTTCTGATGTGTTAGGGACAATTGCTCTGCCTTATCTTCGAGGCCTCCATAACACTACTTTTCAACAGGACAATGCACGACTGCATGTTGCCCGCACTGTCCAGACCTTCCTTGACACTGAGCCTGTTGCCCTGGCCAGCACGATCTTTTGATCTCTCACCAATTCAAAGCGTCTGGTCAATGGTTCCCAAGCACCTGGCAGTCACTACGGTGAATTGTGGCATAATGTTGAAGCTGCATGGAATGCTGTATCCGTCCANTAAGTTTTTCATACATAAATTGAATTTGAGAGCTGTTTTTGGTAAAGTTTTTGTTTCTCATGACTGTTAGCAGAATATGGAATCGATTGGTTCATGATGGTCGCATGGAACGCCGTGCAAGATCTCAATGACCCCCCATCACTAACAGCCGAGAAGACAGACATGATATCCACACGGCCTTAAGGGATCGTACAGCTACGGCACGAGTCCTGAGTCAACAAATGGAGTCATTTGAAAGACGTCAAGTGTCTGCACGAACAATTCGACGACGTTTGCAGCAGCATGGACTGTCGGCATAGAGATCATGGCTACCCTTGACGGTGCATCACAGGCAGGAGCGCGTCCAATGGTGTGATCAACGACGAACCTGAACTCAGGAATGGCATGACGTCGTCTTTTCAGATGAATCCAGGTTCTGTATACCGCATCGTGATGGCCGCATCCGTGTTTGGCGACATTGTGGAGAATGCCTATAGGCAGCTTGTATTCGACATCGTCATACTGGTCCATCACCTGGAGTAATGGTATGGGGTGCCATCGGATACACGTCTCGAACACCTCTTGTTCACATCACTTTGAACAGCAGCCGTTACATTTCTGATGTGTTAGGGACAATTGCTCTGCCTTATCTTCGAGACCTCCATAACACTACTTTTCAACAGGACAATGCACGACTGGCCCACACTGTCCTGACCTTCCTTGACATTGAGCCTGTTGCCCTGGCCAGCACGATCTTTTGATCTCTCACCAATTCAAAACGTCTGGTCAATGGTTCCCAAACACCTGGCAGTCACTACGGTGAATTGTGGCATAATGTTGAAGCTGCATTGAATGCTGTATCCGTCCATGCTCTGTTCGACTCGATGCCCAGGAGAGTAACTGCTGTTGCCAGTGGAGGCTGCTCTGAGTACTGATTCCTCAGGATCTATAAATCCAAATATCCTGAAAATGTAATCACTCTTTCTTCCAACTATAATGTATGTGTCCAATAAATATCATTCTGTTATTTGCAATCCTTCCTGGTGTAGCAATTTTAATGGCCAGTAGTGTATAAATGCTGATTAACATGAAGATTATTAAATCTTTTGAGTGTTTATATGACTTACCTTTAATGTTTCTTGGTTATATTTATGTTTCCTAAAGATTTCGAAAGCTGAAAAAAAAACATATTGATTAAAATTACATAAATATCTTTGCAACACGATAATAGGGGCCATTCAAACATTACTTAAGGACATAATGAACATGAGGTTTTTAAATTTGCTGACAATGGAGGAATGGCAGGATGCGAGCATTTCTTACGTATGTCATTTAAGTCACATAATAATTTCAAGTTGTTTTTTTTCAAAAGAAAAAAAAATTAATTTGGAAAAAATTACGCTTGAAACAATTTAAATTTTAAATAAAATTTTGGAGAAAGAGAAAATAAATTTGGACAAAAATTGTTTTTATGTGTTTTAGAGTTCTAGAATTTTAGCCATTTAAAAAAAACAGCAAAATTCCCTAAAAATATTCTTCTCAAAATTTTATAAAATTAATTGAAATATGTACTATACTATTTTTTTTGGAGAGTTATATTATTTATTAAAATGAAATTCTAAAATTTGATTACTTCATAAAAAGTTAAAATTAGAGCAAGGAAGTACTTTGTTACTTTCTTAGACAAGCAAAGGATGTGATTTGCTTATTCTTGTGGAGCGAAAGTAAAACTGAAAAAACAGGCTTTATTTGAACGACCTCATATCAATAGAAATATTTCCGTTTTAGGATTTTTAAGTTATTTGTAAAGATGTTGGACATTTATTATGAAGACATTTATAAAGAAATCAAGCATTTTAATCAATAAATTTAGAAATGCTTAATTAATTTTTTATTTAAATGAATAATCAAAATTAGAAATTTATAACTAGTTTCATTTCATTTGTAAATGAAGAGAGTTAAATCTTAATGGTTAATAGCAGACTCAAATATTTTAATCCTATAAAAAATTGCAGTGAATAAGTTTATATTGTACAAGGAGCATCCAGATAGTAAGTTTTCCTATTTATATTAAAAAAAAAAAAGAACTCATACTTTCAGGAACATATTTATTGGCAACACGTACAGCAATGTTTAAGCTATTTTTCAACATAGCCACCACCAGAATTGAGACACTTATCGTATCGTGGGATCAACTTTTGTATCCCTCCGTCGTAGAACTCTGCCGGCCGTGAATGGAACCAGCGTGTGACAGACGTTTTCAGCTCTTCGTCGTTGCCAAAACGCTCGCCGGAGGACAGGAATTTCTTGAGTTGCAAGAAAACGTGAAAATTGCTTGTGTATCAATATCAGGGCTGTAGGGTGGATGATCAAACAACTCCCAGCCATATTCCGTCAAAACAGCTGCTGTGCTGTATGTGGCATTGTTATGGAGGAGCGTAACACCTGCATTCCATGACTCTTGTTTTGAATGGCAAGTCACAGTAACGGTTAGCGTGTGTTACCCGCTGGTTCCAATTACAGGCGACAGAGGGATACAAAAGTTGATCCCACGATACGACAAGTGTCTCGATTCTGGTGGTGGCTATGTTGAAAAATAACTTAAACATTGCTGTACGTGTTGCCAATAAATATGTTCCTGAAAGTGTGAGTTCCATTTTTTAAAAAAATTTGGAAAAGTTACTTTCTGGATGCACTTCGTATTAATTGTTCATATATGATATTATTAACTTTAGTAATGTTTTAATGGTTTCTGAACGATTTTATTTTAACTACTTTTATTTTAAAAACTGGGAGCCAAACACTTCAGAGGAGGATATATTTAAAAAGCATTAAATTAAAATATTTTATCTTATTTGCTGCCTTTGTGACATTAAAATCACATGGAACATTATTATATTGCTGTCACATAATTAATATTTAAAGATGTTTAATATTTTTCGGAACCACGTTGTCTTGAAAAAAAAATTAGAAATTCCACGCTTACACTACTTCAAAATATTAAATTAAAATTTATTGCTCACTTTCTCAATAGAAAAAATCAGCGAAAATATAAAAAAAGACCACATCTATATTTGTGGTTATAGTTAATTTACGTCGCACTAGAGCTGCACGATGGGCTATTGGCGACGGTCTGGGAAACACCCCTGAGGATGATCCGAAGACATGCCATCACAATTTTAATCCTCTGCAGAGGGGATGACACCCCCGATTCGGTAGCCCGACGACCTGCATGCGAAGTCGAGCACTTTACGGTAGAACAGTTTAACGAGGACCAATACCGCACACCCTAGGTCCCTACGCAGACTGATCCAAGTGGTCACCCATCCGCACACTGACCGTAGCCAGTGATGCTTGACTTCGGTGATCTGTCGGGAACCGTGTCTTAACGATCAGTCCACTGCGGGATCATCTATATTTGTAAACTTTTTTGGAATATAGTATTTATCCTTGAAACCACTTTTTGTTGAAAAATAATTGTTGGTAATATTTGCAGGTAATAAATAATCAGCAGTTTTCTAAAAAAAAATAAGAAACAAATATCCTTAACTTACAGAAAAATCTTCAAATATCCGAAATTGTTTCACAGATAAGCATCCAAATAAGTCCGGCAGTTCTACCTTCCATTAACCGTATTTGAATCATCCAAACTGGCCCTTATCTATCGTAGTAGTATGCAAAACAATCCTAAAAAACGAAAACATGTTGTATTAAAAAAAAGCGTGGCTTTTTAAATATCAATTAATTTCGAAAGAGTTCAAAAACAACTGTAGAATAATTAAATGTTTCAAAATTAAGTGTTCGAAGCATGCAGAAACAAATAACATGAAAATGAAAGAAATACATAATAGTAAAAACGAGAATGATAAATTTAACACTGTAAAACAAGTACAATAAAAATATAAAAAAGGAGTACAATAAAAATATATTTAGGGCTGGCACCTGATCCCTATTGTTCTCTGTGCCTGAGCCAAGCTGTTTTGGATGGCGGCCACATTCAGCGCTGCAGGGCCCTCCGCGGGACGTCGTCTACCGAGCGATATTGGAAAGCAAGAGCACTCCTGAGGAAATGACATTTTACTTTCTTGTTTTGTTCCTGAGTTTTTACCTTTTAACATGTCAATTCACCTCTGCAATTTGAAATAATTTTTTTTTTTTTTATATAAAATTACTATTTTTATATTATTTATTTTAGTTTTAAATAGAATTTTAAACTCTTATAACCTATTATAATAATTTACTTTGTGTTTTAATTTGGGTTATCCTTATGTTCCTAAAAAAAGTTCTTTTATATCTAGACAAATGAGTACTTATATTATTATCAGTCTACAGAAAAATTTGTTTGAGGGTGTCTAGGATGATTTTAATCTCATCAAAAATGCATGATAGTACTTTTTTTTAACTTGCTACTAATTATTTAAAATTGTCCTCAGGAATTTATTTCAAGACTTTAACATAGGCGCAGGTATTATTTAAATACAAACACTTTTGTGATACATCACAAAGAACATTTACAATTTAATTTTCCTTAGACTTAAAAGTTAAAGGAAAAATAAAAGAGATTCTGTGGCTTATTGCGCATACGATAAAAGTCCTAAAAATCTTACTAATGACTTTTAATAGAGAGTAAAATATCTTTCAAAAACCATACTAGCTCAAAAAATTGAAAAATAAGAATTTTTTTTTTTTTTAATAATTTTTTTTTTCTTTTAAAGCGCCATGCTATCCTGAATCTAATTACCAAGTTTGAACTTAATTGATTTAGTAGAAGTCGAGAAATCTTGTGCGCAAAAATTGAAAATCTCAAATTGTGAAAACCCGATTTAAAGACATAACTTTAAATACTTTTGAAAAAAATAAGTGAGTTTGCAGACGATTCCCATTTAGAAAACTAGTCTGATATATTTATTGCTTTCATGAATGGTTTTCAAAATTTTTGCTGTAACTTTGAATGTTATTTAGATATTATCTTTGTGTCTAACTGCTCAGAATAAAAAAGGCTATAACATTCTTTTTTCTTTAAAAAAAAAAATCACATTTTTTTAGGAAAAGCTGTCTAGTCCTAGAGGGGATCCCTTACAGATGGAATTATCCGAGAAATAAAAAACTATTGTTGTTTAACAATAAATTACTTTTCGCACAATTATAACATTAGTAAATTAAGTAAAAATTACCCAAAATTTGAAAATTCAGTTGGTCGGGGTGCCTGAGGCAGGAGTGGCCCTTTACCCCTTCATCTTGTGATGGTGGATCCTTGTGGTATTACCTTGAGGTCCTTGCATCCTAAAAATGAAACTAGAGAATTGATACTGGGCACATTGCTGGAGTGATATCATAAAATTATACATTTTCACAATAAGTAGATAAAAAAGAATAAAAGAAGTATACTTAAGAAGTTTGTCAAAAATTTAATTGTACATCTCAGGTATAATTCACTTTCTCTCTCAGCATTCTCACAGTTCACTTTTACTAAAGCAAGTTTACTAGTCAAGTTTGTTACAAATCAAGTAGATTTGCGTCAACGCTTTCATACAATTACATGTCCATGTCTTTCTTTTTATATTCTTTTTTAAATATATATATGATACATGGTTTAATATATATATATATATATTAAGGCCATTTTGAGATATCGCCATAAAATAATTATTCACTATATTCGTGCCATTGATTTATACTCAGACTGTCAGTGTTAAATCACTTTTGAAAAAGTGAGCTACTGGCCTCAGGGAGGCATCTTCAGCTAAGTTTTCGAACTAAAAAATTGAGTCGAAATTTGCGGCTTTGAAGTCTTTCTTAAAAAAGTTTCGAATTAGTTTGTTAAAGTGGTGATCAAAACTGTCAATCTCTATGTCTACATTTCTCTGATACCAGTGAGCGGCAGTTATCTTTCTTAAAATCTTGTTCTGCCTTCTTGTGAGTTTCCCAGGCTCACTTTCTGAAACGGTACACCATGCTAGCGAGGTCATGACTGGTCTAATCATGGAGGTGAAAAGTAATATCTTCAGTTTTAAACTCAGTTTTCCATTGTACATTATTGAGTTGCAGAATTGGCTTTATCTTTGACGTTTTTCACCGACCAAGTCCGTCCGTTGTTACTGACTAGACCTAAGTATGTTGCTTTAGTTACTCTTGGTATCACTTGATTCACGAGAACTGGTTCATCATGCTGTCTAATTGGTTTCCTGTTCTTCTGGATTACCAATAGTTAGGACTTTTGAGCATTTATTTCAAACTTCCAATCTAAGCACCATTTCTCGTATATCTTATCCTGCAGTTATTTCTACAGCCATGTTCGGGTTACTTGATCTTACTATGACACCTGCGTCATCTGCATAAAACGCAGTTAAGTTGTTAAGTTCTATTGGGAAATCGTGTGTAAAAAGGATTTATAAAATTGGTTCGAGTGTGCTACCTTGTGGAACGCCTGCACTTATGCTCCTCACCGGGGAACATGCATTTTTCATTCTAATCTGAAAGTTTCTTTGTGCCAAATAACTCTAAACAAATTTTATTATTCCCTTTGGGAATTCAAGCTCAATTAATTTATAAATTATTTCTTTGTGCCAAACTCTATCAAAGGCTTTATTAATATCAAGCATCAACAAAGCCGAAGTCTGCATTAAGTGCAATCCTCTGACAACATAACCAACTAAACGTAACAACTGTTTTGTTGTATACAGTTTCGCCCTGAATCCATGCTGTTCATCTAGTAAACAACTGAGAAATGGTTTGACCCTTGTGTATGCTATTCTTTTCAGTATCTTACCAAGAGTGCAAAGCAAACTTATAGGTTGAAAACTGGTCGGAGATCTTTGTTTGGTAAAGGAAATAGAATTATATTTGCAGTTTTCCATATTTCAGGAAAGAAGTTCAATGACAGACATGCAATAAATATCTTAGTTGAATATTCTATATTATGATCAGGCAGAGCTTTGGTCGTTTTGTTCTTTATACTTTCTAAGCCATAAAGTCGATTTTTTTTAAAATTACTAATTATAATATCTTAAACTATAAGCACTCAACTTACTGTAGTACTGGCAATAGTACCATCTGTTGAGGAATAAGAGAGGTATTTCTGCCATTAGCGGATGCTTTATTGCCACATTTTTTTCTAATTTATTCAACAAATAAGGAGGAATTTAGAATGTACATTTAAACAGGAGATGGACGTAAAATACAGGAGTCTTTGTTAAAAAACAGGAAACTTAGCAGGTATGTAATTTTATATTCCTTTTCAAATTTAAAATTAACTCTTTTTATTAAAAATAAATTTTAAATCCATTTTTTAATTAAAACTAAAAAAGTGATGTTAACATCCATATAAAAAGTTTAAACGTATAACCAAATATCCTGCTGTTTTAGTAGAAATCATAGTAAATCGATGGGATATATAGAATTGAGGTACAATTTACGGTAGCGCTTTTTTTGTAGCCAGAGTAAACATTTCTATGTGTTTTACATTCCAATCAAAGTAAAATTTACAGTAATGCAAAGTTTTAAAAAATTACTGTACAGTAATTGAAAATTTTGCATTTTTTTCTCATTAAAATAAATAAGTATCAAAATTAACAAAATAATTGAAAATTATTTTTAAAAATTTAACCAAAGTCATTAAACTTAAAAATAATTATCAATGAAATCTACCAAGTTTATTTGGAATATAAGTTTAAATAAATATAGTAAATAAAATAATAAATAAATATCATAAGCAAAACACATAAAATATGTCCTTAAATATTTCAATTACTACTTTTTTTTAGATTCAATGTTATATTTTAAACTTAGGTGATCAAGTAACAGTTTTAAGAATTGAAATTTAGAAGAATAACTGAAAAAAGAATAACGATTAGCCCAAGTGTATTTACAATGAATCAAAAGCGACAAAAAGGGGTTAATTAAATTTATGTTTCAAGATTCAGACGTTTTCTTGATATTTTCAATATGTTTAATAACGTATTAAAATATGGAAATTTTAAAAAATATACAATAATAAGTAGTGATAACTGCCGAATAATAGGTTGAAAAATTACATAATTATCAATAGAATTACTTAAATGTGCAATTTGAATTTCCCATACCATAATAATGTCATGATTTTAAAAAAAAAATTTGAAAATCAACAGCTTTAATTGCAAAAAAAGAAGAAAAAAAATTGGATTTAGTGATAATCAAGAGCAGTTTAAGGTAATTACTCAAATGTGTGAATCAAATTCCTCGTTTCTAAATGATACGGTAAGTAAAATTATATGCTATTGTATGTAAAATTAATAATATGAATTAAAAAAAAACGCATGGATATCAGTCGCAATAACTGAAAGAAAGTCATTAAAAAAAACAATGGTGTCGTCGGGTCGAAACGTGACTAATAAATACACAAATAGAATTTTGCATATCGTAACAATGTTTAAACAATGTAGGGATTTTAAAAAAAACATTTAGAAATTTTTTAGTATTAATAGCCAATAAAATTATTGAAGTAATGCAGGGATATAATAGTATCACAGTACTCATGATGCTATTCGCACAACTCAAGCGTTTCAGAAAGTGATTACTCAAAAGCATGATTCAAATTTTGTAAGCTGTAATAATATCGGAATTTCAAAAACTATGGGAAAATAAATTTCATTAATTGCAAAAGAAGAAAATAAAAAAAAAAAGAAATCGAAACACAGATTCGTTATGGGATCGCACGCATTGAATGTGCAATTAGAAATTTCCATGTTGATCTATCCATGATCTAAGGCCCGGACTTCGATGACATTTGCATTTTTTGTCCTTTAGAGCATTTTTTTAGATTTATAGGGCATTTTCCTTTAATTTTTTTGGCATATTTTGCGTTTTGAAGCATTTTTTAAATTTTTTGTTAATTTTTTCCAATTTTTATTATTTTTTAATCATTTATTATTACACTGGCTTCCAAACAATGAAGAAAATCTCTAGGATATTAACAGGTGAAGCAACAACTTTTCAAATTGAAGTAGAATTGTCAATAAGTGAGACCGTCTTTTTCAAGTAAGCACCAATAACATCAGTAGACGTTGAAAGAAGCTTCTCCAGGTATAAAAATTTACTTTCAGACAAGAGACGCTCGTTTACATTTCAAAATAACAAAAAACATTTAATAATCCAATGTAATTCTGATATTTAGTAATATTATGAGATAGAAGTTGTTATATTCATTTAGTTTCTATACAAAATGAAAATCTTTTGGAGTCAATATTTTCCTTTTTTTTGTTATTTTAGGATCTAAAACATATTTTTCAAACTTTAATGAACGTACACAAAATAATTTTAAAGAGTAAAACATTGTTTTAGTTCAATATTTTTATTTTATTTAAGTATTGTCATTAGGTATTTTTAGCGCAATTTTCGCATTTTTAAGGGCATTTTTCGCACTTTTTAAGGGCAATAATTGAGATTTTTTAGGTCATCAAAATCTGGGCTCTAGTGATCCCATTAAAAATTTATTCATTCTAATTGCTGGCAAATAAATGCACTTGAATAAATGATTCTTTAATTACAAGTCGGAATTTGTAACAAAATTGCTACTCGTTAAAATATAAGTTTTAAAAACAATGAGAAAAAAAACTTTCAAATTTGCTATTTTGGAATTACTTTTTAGAATATCAATTTTATACTTTAGTGCTTGACTCACTAGTTCATTAATTCTAGACAAAGTTATTATGGATATTTTTTTTCAGTCTTGTGTTGTTGAAGTTTGTAATGTAAGCAAAAAAAGTATGTATATAAATCTTAATCTAAAGAAGATTTTTTTAAAACCATTATTTATAATTACTTAAACTATAAACACTCAACATACTGCGGTACTAGCAATAGGACCATCTGTTGAGGAATAAGAAAGGTATTCTTGCCATTAGAAGATATTTTATCGCCAAAATTTTATTTTTAAATTTCTTCAACAAATATGGAGAAATTTGAGAATATAGGGCTAAGCAGGAGATAGTGGTAAAATACAAGAGTAAAAAAACAGGAGACTTGGCAGGTATGTGTAAGTAACGAAATGTAAATTTAAGATTAGCAGAACTACAATTTTTTTTTTGTCGGAGCTTAAATTATTGATTCGCAGAATTCCGCAAATTAACAGAAGAATCACATGCCCGGCTCTAAGGATTGATTCTTACGAATCAATATAGTGCCAAAAACACAATTTCCGATTTTTAGCATTTCATCAATTGCTTTTAAGATGAACTGATTTTATTTGTCTTATAGAAAATGTAAGCAAAACTTATCATTTAAATTATAACATTATTTCAGCGACTGAAAAATGGTTTTGATTTTAAAAATTTTGAGTGAAATAAATCTTTTTTGAGTGAAATAAATCTGCAGACAAAACAATTTATAGATGTTAATATTACAAAATAAAAAGATATTCTTTTTATTAAAAATGCGTTAGAGACTTGGCCACAGCTGATTTGGGGGTTCAACTTATATTTCGTTTTTCTGCACAAATTCCATAATTTAGAAACTTGAATTTACAGAGGTGTGTAAAAAATGTACAAGTAAACAAGGAATTTTACATTTGATAATTAGATTGAAAATCAGCAACTGTTATACTTGAAGTAAAAGATACGTTGCCTTGCAATCCTCAGGTATGCAACTAAAGAATTGAATTTTGCGTGTTGAAAGGGGCAATTTATGAACTTGAGTTCAGAATTTTTTTTCAAAATTGCAATTTGTTCAAAAAATTACTGCTTTTCCAAAGAAATTTTTTAAAATTCTTTTTGCCTTAAATAATAACTGTTTATTTATGTTGTAGACAATTTTATCTCTCTCTTCATTTCATATGCTCACACTTCAGTTGATGTTGAAAGTAAAAAAAGAGAAGAGAGCGAAAAGAACATTTTGCCAAGTTTAATAACTTAACACTTATATTTAAATTATTAATTCTTAAATTAATGAATTCTTCATATAGAGTTAAAGAAATTAATAATTAATTCTTTATTCTTTAAATTCTTCATAAAAGCTTTAATTAAAAAAAATTCAAATTTAAACTTTCATATTAGATAAACATTACATACTGCTATCAAATTGTAAAAAAATATTTCATTTTTATTTCTTATCGTAGCATATTTTTCCAAAGTTTCCTTTTTTCAAGTATAATTTGATTACTTTCAAATCCAGACAATCTTTCATTTTGTTAGGATTAAAAATTTAGTAAAATGCGATTGCATAAAATTATAATAACTATATATTTTTCTTTTTGTTATTTTCGATCTTTTTGAAAATTAACTTAAATGAATTGGCAATCATGGGGATAGATAGCAAAGCCTCCTGGTTACATAAAAAATTATTTTACAAGAAAAAAACTATACATAAACAATTTTTTCACAACTCATTTTTAATATTAACCATTGATGACATTTATACGGATATTAAAAAAAATAGTTTTACACAGTTTTTTATATTTATATGAAAAATATTTTCCACATTAACTATAATAGAAATAAATTTTAATTCTTCTAGTTATTTAAACTTTAAAAATAAAATTAAAAAAAAAAAAAAACTCTTTTTATGTTTGATTTTCAAACATAAAAATTTCCTTATGAAATAGGAACTTTCCACTTTAAGAAATAGAAAATTAATACAAAACATATTGTAATTTTAAATTTAACAAAATTAATATATTTTTACAAATTAATAAAATGTTGAATTCCAAGCGTAACAGAGGGGAAATCACACAAGTATTTTATTCTAAAAAATGCATTAAATATTTTTGAAAACAAAAATTCTATTAGAATATGATACTTTAGGGTGCAATATTTAATTAATTGGCATAAATAATAAGAGAGCCTCATAATTAAATTGCAAGTTAATTAAAAGTACTTGAAACGGAGGGGACAAATAATATCCCACATTTTTGACATGCACTGTTATTTATGCTAAATTCTTTGATTTAGACCATCCTAAACAATATCAGTAATTTTTTTTTAATTTATCACATTTCAAGGTAAAATAAATTATTATAAGACTTTTAAAATTTCAAACACATTTTTTTAACTCCAAATAATGCATCGTTACAGAGAGGACATTATATGTAACAAATCTGACAAAAAGTTAAAAGGGAATATCACTGTTAAAAGTGACTCTTCGGTTATTTCAAGTTGAAATTGGCAGCACTGCTATATTGAAACCCATGCTACATCTTTGTAGTTATACTTAAAAGTTTTTATTTTACCACACCATGTTAAAAAAAAAGTGTTTTGTTTATTTCTTTCTTTGTTCAATTATTTGGGCAACAAAATTAACTACCCTAGTCTTTTTTTAACATTCTAGCTCTATTTCTCTCATTCTTTCTGTTGCTGCTTTCCCCCATATTGATTACTCACTTAAAAAACTTTTAACTATAAACTAAACACACTATCAAATAAAAATGATACAGCTTTGCATAAAAAGTGTGCTCTAATAGTGGAGGAACTGATTTAAACTAGTTGAATCAGGATGCATTAGCACTTGTTCACATTTCTAGATTTCCTTTTTAACGGTCAACCTATTAATTTTGTGTAACTGAGGGGACATTTAGTTTTGTCTGCTCTGTTACATCCCCTCTATTATATAAGAAACTTTAAAATTTTAATTTTTTTTCTTCAAAAATATAACATAACATGATTGTACTAATAGACTTTTTTTGTAAAGACCAAATATTAAGTTAAAAGGTTTTTGTGTAATGAATAAAGAATAATTGTAACAAAGGAGACAAATGCATATTTGAGATAATTTTTAACTTAAAAAAAAAGAAGAAAAATATTTTTTGAAATCACTACTTAGTTAGACTCAGGAATAATTTATTTTACAATATAAATCAAACTATATGCAAAATAGTAATATTTTTAATAACTTATTCTTCTTTAAAATAAACAGTTTGTTTTTGGTAGAATAAATCAAAATCATGAATGCTTTCTATTTATGCTAAATTTTACTATAATCATGCATAACATCAAAAAATAATTTCTGAATTCATAAATTACAAAAAATTTCTATTAAAATGATACCGAATACAAGGATATTGCTTAAACTTTAAAAATTCACTACTGGTTTCAGTTGGCATGGAATTTAACAAATACATTTAATATCATTCATTTAAAGCATGCACATTTATATATAAAACATGTACAAAATATTTATTATATGTGTCCTTTCTGTGAGAAATTGTTTTTAGATTTTATAGACATTTTCACAATTTTGATAAAAACAGAAAGATACGCATGACACACACTAAAATGGCACTTAAAATCAAGAAGACCCTCTAATAATGGAGAAAAAGTAGATACCTATGAGATGAAAATAAATGAAAACTAGTCAGTAAACTCATAAGTTTAGAAAAAGTAACTTACTGGCGTAAAATTATGGACAATCAAATAAATTTGCATCTTGTTATCATTTAGGCTTTTAGCTTTCAAAATGGCACTAAGAGCTCCAAATTCCATAATTTCTGATTTGTTATCTATAGGAATAAAATAAATAACTAAAAATCGCAAAATAAATAAACTATTATCTGCAAAAAAAAAAAACTCTTTGAATTTAAAGGTGGGGATAGTAGTTATCGACTACGAAAAGGTACCCCACCATCGAATCGAGATAACATGTCTTGTATACAAGTGAATTGGAATAGTATTTTTGTAGTGGTAGACACACTACATTAAGCTTTGACGAATGTCAAAACTTTATTAAATTTCAGTCAAATTTATCTAGTCAAATACCAAATTAAAACTCTAAATATTGATTGACTCTAAATATTGGTTGTCTGAGTCCTAATTATCCACAAAGACGTTCAGCTGTAAGGTATAATTGCCAACTTCCTCAAAATAAAAAATTTGCAAGATTTTACAAATTATACAATAAAAAGATAACTATTTAAAAAACAAAATTCTAAACACATTTCTAATATCTAACATTGATAACATTTATTCAGACAATAAAAACATTTTTAGTAAAGTTGTTCATTCTTAGATATAAAAAGTTCTCTTTCAATTTAGGAGATTTTTTAGCATATATTCCTTTTCTAGGTTTTTTCCCCTCCTTTGATAAAAATGGGAGACGTATACATTTATAATAATTCAGAAGAGGATAAAAAAAAGGGTAAGCCTACACAAATGGGAGGACATTCCCCTTTAAACATTAACTTCAATGCTGTATCATCATAATTATAATTTTGGTTCCCGATTAAGGTTTCTCAGTTAATAGTGTAATGTATAAAATAAATAAAATCAAATAAGTAAAATAAAAAATAAATAAAAATCAGTAATGGATAAATAGATTTATAAATAAATAAATGGATAAATAACTGATAATAACTTAATACTTTAAATCCTTAGCAATAAAATAAATGTCATCCTAAAATAAGAAACAAAGCTGCAAGAAAGCAGATAATAAAGGACGAATCTATAAAATAAAAGAACAATTCTTTAAATAAGTCACCCAAAAAAATTATAAAAATCATTAAATTACTAAAAATATTGAACAAATAATCTGCATTTAATTGAAATTAAAGCATATTTAATCAACAGACAAAGTTTCTTAAAAATAGAAGGAGGAAAAAACAATAAAAATGTAATAAGTAAAGATATTCTATTTATAAAATAATAATACGAAGAAGAAGAATCATAAAGCAAAATGGATAAATAGCAAAATATTAATTACCTAAGAGAATAAAATTGTGAAATTAAAAAAAATTAGAAATCTTATTTTAATGATAAATATTAAACTAAAGAATAAATAAATAAATAAAAATATATAAGTTAATTGAAATTAAGCCAAAATTATAATTAGCTAAATAAAACCAAATTATAATAAAAGAAAGATTTATTAAAATCATCTAATTAACTAATACAAAACAAAATTAATGATTATGGCAAAGAAAAGAAAATAATAAAATAAAAGATCAATTTATTAATCAAATTAAATAAAAACAACCCTAATAAATTACCAAACAGAATTGTTTGTTGAAAGAAGCGCCAACATAAATATTTAACAAAGCAAGGTATGATGAGATCAACTTGGATTTTAAATAATTCTTTATCTTAAAATTCATAAATAAAAAGAAATCATTTATTTATTATGAATGATTGCGAAGAGAAAAAAAAATCTCAAAACATTGGGGAATCAAAAATGTACCACTTGTAAAAAGAGAAAGCTGCAATTTGCTTCATAAAAAAGATATCTAATCTTAACAATAAATAATGCTCTTCTCCAATTCTCCTCCTAATAATAAAGTATGCATATGTATAAACAATATTATGCTTTTATTTGTTTTATAAAAGATGAATTTTAAAGAAAGCAAATGTAATTTTAAATCAGGCAAATGATAATATCACCTCTGAGAAATAAATGCAAATAAATTTTTGTTTCTTTAATAGATAACAAAAGAATAAGCATAGCAGACGATAAAAAACTTTTTGTTCCTAATAATAATGTACTTGTCACAATAAATCAAGGATGATGCAAATTGAGAAATAAAAGTGGATTAAAAAAGTACTTTTAAGATAGAAATTTTAAGTTCCTGAACTCAGACATCCAATTGACAACACTCCAGAAACGCTACACATAAGATCAAGGTGCTTATCCAAATTTTTGAACAAAAAACAAGCATTTCTTAAGTACTTTTCAAGCACTCAAAAAAGTTTCCTAAACTCCTTAGTTTTCTAAAAAAAATATAAGGAGTGATCTGTCACACCCGTTTAGTGATCTGTCACACCCGCTACAATCGCCAAGGTGCCAAATATATTTTAAACAACTCATTCTTTTTTTAAAAAAAAGATAATTTGTCTTAAAAGGGGACCAATATAAAATCATTCAGCAATCCACAGCTGATAGCTAATAACTGATATCGGTTTTAAATTAAGTTATAAAGAAGTTAAAATACCACATTATAAAAAAGAAATCATTAAACAAATCATAAAAAATATTCTTTTATAAAAATAGAATTATTGCTAATTTGAAAGCAATTATTTAAATTTCATGTAAAAAGAAATGAATGAAATAACATACTTAAAGCAAAGGATAAAACGGCAGAAGATGCCAGAGTTGCATGACCACAAAGGTTAACTTCACAGGTTGGAGTAAACCATGCCAGACCAAACTTATTGCTTAAAGATAAAAAAAAATGTATGGAAGAAGAATAAATAAAATGAATTTAAAATCTTTTTCAACATTTAAATATCATTTATAAATTACCATTAAGCACAGGTATTTCAATTCAAAAATAAAATCTATACAAATTATGCAGGAATATTGTATACTACAGTGATTAAACATGTCTAGAGAATTGTTTAAGAAATGAATGACTTGGGGTACTATTATACCTTTATATTTATTTTTACAGTGACTGCAAACAGAGCTTCAAAATGAACGTGGTTTATAACTACAGTATTAATCTCATTAGTTTTGTAACAGAACCTTGAAAACTCGAGCCTGCCTCAGGATGGTCCTCCATTAATAACAGTTTTGGATTTTAAACTCCCAGTATTCAGTTTTTAACTATTTAACATCCTACTCAATATCTTCCAACGAGCTGTGATAGCTCAGGGGAAAGAGCATTCGCCTTCCAATGAGGTTAACCGGGTTAGAATTCCGCAACCGGCTCACCTCGACCACAGTGATGACCTAAAATATCCTCAGAGGTAGACGAATCATAGGTTAGAGTCCCCTTCCCGTGAGGCTAACTGTGAGAGGTTTTCCTCTCCATGTAACAAAACTGAGAGTTAGTTCCATCAGAAAGTCCTCTACAAGAACAAATTTCTCCCAAAACTTGATCTAGGAGTTCCCTTGTCTTCTGGAGTTCAAAATTACAAGGCTACAGAGTTGAAAATTAGTCGTAAACCCAAAAAATTGGGTCGATACTGTTCAATGATGGATATAACACAAAAAAACCTTAAAACCATCTTTTCCTTAACTAATGGCCGAATCCTAACAATTAAAAAAAAAATAATTTAAGCTTTATCCAAGTTTTTGTAAAAATAAAAACAGCTTAAAATTTATCAGTTTATTAATAGTAAAATTTTAAAAGTATACAAGTATTAAATAAAACATTTACAAAGATAAAAAAAGAGAAAGATTAAATGTAATAAAACCCGGACTATATTTAAATAAAAAGTACTGCCATTAAAGTACACTGCACAAAATAAAAAATAATGGGAAAAAAACCCAACCAAATCAGCAAAGAAACCTTTCTCGATATACAGTGATCGTAGAAGTAAGGGAGGGACTCTCTCCTTCCATGTGCGTGTGCGTATACAGGGTATATATGGGGTTTTTGCTACATTTTAGACTTTCAAATTCATGACTTTCCATGATTAATTCCAAAAACTTTTCATGACTTAAGGAAAATTACTATTTTCTCTGACAATAACACAACAATAAATTTAAAAAAGTATTATAATAACATTAATTGAAATGATAGGTATAAACAAAACTGTTAAACTTGGCCCCTTCATATTTATAGATTTTAAATTTAAAAAGCAGAGTAAAGAAAGAATTGAAACAATAAAAATTATGAAAAAATACATCGGCAATTATTTTTTTTTCTTACAGAATTATATTCTCAAGATGATTTTCTTATTCATCGGAAAGGAAAGAAATACTACTGATTTTACTGTTCACAATGAAGAAATATTCGCCAATTGACTGGCTTGCTTCATCTAGTGTTTTAAATTGATAAAATAACAAAATTTAAAAATAAATAAATTTTAAAAAAATTCTGAAATCACAGAAGCTTAAAAGATAATTCGCTCCATAAATGATGTTTCTTCTTTTATTTTTTTAAAAGAACACCATAATTTTTTAAAGAACATGATAAAAACTTTTATTTTTTAATAAAATAAGACTGTGAGTGGAGAATTTGTTACACATTTGGAACACCATGAAATTGGTATGGTGGAAAATTCCATTTTAAATACTAGATTTTTCGATGACCTAATAAATCCATGACTTTTCATGATTTATTTTTTAAAAGAATAATTAAAATCATGACATTTTATGACAAATTTTGTTCAATATTGAAATTCATGACTTTCCAGGTGTGAAGACCATACGTCTTAACGTAAAACATTGCAAGAAACTACAGTTGTTATAATTTGTGACAGGGTAGCTAAGTTTAAAAAAACTTTGTTAAAGCAAGTTTAAAATAACGAATAGAAATGTGTTTTAAACATACTTAAAAAAATTATAATTTAAAAAAGAAAAGAAAAATTAAAAAAATGTTTCAGAAACTAATGGGAAAGTGTTTAAGTAAAAAAATGTTTAAGCTAAAAATAAAATGAAATGCAGAAGAACAAATGCTCTCAAAATGTGGTTTTGTACATTGTTAAATAAGGAATTGTTTGAATGTTACTAAGATAGCAAAGCTTGTAACAATATTGAATGCTCTAAATCATAGGTCGCCAAAGTGGTCTATATAGACCCCCAGGGGTCTATTTAACGAAAGCGGGGGTCGATCTGAGACAGGGGGGCGAATGGGGGTCGATCCGAATCGGAAGGGTCGATTGTGAATTTAAAAAAAAAATCAGTTCTCAATACGCAAATCACACATACCTAATTAAGTATGTAAAATTTGTGAATTTTTTTAATAACTGACTCAATATCAGTTTCTTTATAAAACATAAATTAATAAACGTATATTTATTGGGGTGAAACAAGTATTTACGTTCCACCGCGCAGTGGCACGAACTCAGCGCAGTTTATAAGTCATATGCATATGTGCGCTTGTCCAAATGTCACGTGTGACGAGCATTGGCGTTACAAATGCAAATATCATACGCAGTTTCAGCTATCTTTGCAAACTGTGTTGAATATTTGCAGTGTCATTATTAAAACTTTTATAGTTTTGGATAATTAATTATTGTTTCGATAAAACCATTCGTTTGGTTTAGATATCAATTTTAATTATCAATGCACAAAAAAGAAGGTAAGCTCTAATAATATGAATTAGTACAGCCCGCGACAATATATAGCACACTTTGTATTTTTTTACGAAAATTACAAAATGGACCAATTTTTGTAAATTTCAATATTAATATATTTTTCATAAAACTATTGTTACACAATGTACTATTACTTTAATAAATGTTTAAAATCATAAAATAAATGTACAAACACTGTATCTAATAGAGTTTTATTTTAATTAACAGAAAATTACGTTTGTTGGGGTCGATGGAGATTTCGAAAAATTATACAGGGGTCGATGATCAAAAAAGTTTGGCAACCCCTGCTCTAAATAAATAAATTTTTTTATTTTTAAAGCAAATGTGACTTTACATAAGGTTCTTTTAGATAAAAAAAAAGGGAATATCTATGAAAAAAATGTACTGCTTAACTCTAAGATCTACGAGGTACTTTTGAGCTTTATACGCGTAGATTTTCGTTATGCCTTACATTTACTTTTTGTCTTATTTTTAAATGTTGCTCTACACCTTTACTTTAGGCTTTCCTATATTTTACGCGCTTTCTTTTCATATGTGTTACTTCTACATTTAAGCGTTACTATTCTTTAAGTTTCATTGTTATTTTATATTTTACACATTTCATGTGTTTCCTTTACACGTTTACATTTTTATGCGTTACTTTTACTTTCGCGTATTACTTTAAATTATGCTTTAGTTTACACACATTATTTTTTATTACATACTTTTTCATGTTACTCAGCTCTCCAAGTTACTATGTTTTAAGCGTTGTTTTACTTTGAATATGCTTAATTTTCACTTTTACGCGTTGTATTTTAAACTTTACTTTTGATATCTACGCAATAATAATGAATTAAGTTCTCATGCGTTACATTTTTATACGTAACCTTTACGCGTTTTTTTCTATAATGGGGTCATTTTGCGTATTTATTTTATCATGTTTTTTCTGAATAATTTTAAGCGTTAGTTCTGTTTATACATTATTATTTTTGTTATTCTTTACAATATCCTCGATGACTTTTTATTTTAACGCCTTTAGTTTACTCGTACATTTTTTTATGTATTACTTTTATCTGTACTCTATGGCTAATTTACTAATTTTACATTTTACTTTTTTGCTCTACTTTTACGCTTATCCTTTTCTTTGGCGATATTTTATTTTTACGAGTTTCACATGTTTACTTTTCTTTTGTGTTATTTTTAATTTACCGCGTTATTATAGTTGACAGGTTTTTTTCTCCTCTGTTACTTTTTATTCAAGCGATATTAAATTTACGCTTTACCCTTATTATTGTTTACATTAGCTCTACATACGCGCTCGTTTTGCGAGTACAATTTCTTCATGCGTTACATTTTGGCTTTATTTGTTACTTATACGCTTTTTTTTTTCTTTTCTTATGCAGTAATTTTATTATTTTACTTCTCACTTTCAAATATTATTTACTTTCCTTAAACGTTACTTTTAAGCGTACCCTATTCTTATGAGTTACTTTCTCTTTCTGGTAATTTAAAAATTTTATGCTTGCTTTACATGCATTTCGTCACTGTGATACGTTTGTTTTTCTTGATTATTTTTCTTTCTGCTTTAATTTACATACATTAGTTTACTTTGTTTCTGAGACATTAATTTTCTTTATGCGTTATATTTAAGGCCTTTATTTTACCGCGTTATGACCTTTTTTTTTACTTATTTTATGCGTTCTTTAACTTTCAGACATTATTTAAACAGGTAATGAGCTATTTTTACACGTTATATTCTTATGGGGAATTTTATTTTTGTGTTTCTTTAGAGCATTGTTTTCCTTATGGATAACTTTAACGCGTTTATTTTTATTTTGCGATATTATTAATTTAACACATTATTACATTTTATTCGTTAATTTTCCTATGAATTACTTTTGCAAGTTTTTCTAACGGATTATTTTCTCTTTCATGCGATATTTTATTTTACGCATGTAAGAACAAAAATTTGTTTCATGAAGGAATAAGTACTGTGCAATTGTAATTCATTCCTTTCTTGTGAATTACATTTGTAGGGCATAAGCGCTCATTTCACAAGTCATTGTAAAATGCGAGCTACATTTTTTATGCGTTACATTTTCTTGTTTAGTTTTCTAATTTCTTACGTTTATGCTTTTATTTTTAATATGCAACAATTTTAAGCATTTAATTTGCTTTTGTGCTTCTTACTTTTACTTGTTACCTTCACGCATTTGCTCAATTTACGCGTTATCATATATTACGCTTTACTTTTAATTTGTTATCTTTACGTGTTACTTTATCGCATTACGATTTTTCATGCAGAAATTG